TTAGACAGCTCTACCACAGATATATGATTATTTGCTATCTTCTAAATTCATGTAAATTATTTTTGTATTGAACATTTTACATACGTATTGAATATGCCCACAGTGCAGTTGGGTTGTCCATGATGTACTTTATGATGCTTCTTTATACACTGCCACAATCCCCATCACCAGAATGCAGCCCAGCACCAGGGAATGAGCAGATAAAAATATCTTTTCTGACGAATGAATGAATTTGTCTTGATAGTTAGTGAAATATAAACACATCTTGTGTTTTTTTCTCTTTTATTTTGCTTATTTTGCATTATGCAGTTTCAACTTAAGTCTATATAATAACAGATTTTTAAAAACCTTTCTAATATGGCTAATACTATTGAAAGAATGAATCTTTGTTTTAACTTTATCTTAAATTAGGCTGAGTTAGCATGTTGACCTCAGACATTTTGGGCATATAATGTGTAAATGGGTAATAAAAATGCAATAATTTAGTAAATTTAATCATGAAGATAATATACTAACAATAATAACATACTACATATTTTTTTTTTAAAGCTTTAGTTTCTTACTTGTTGCCAAATGGTTTAATACTGCCTCACAGGTTAAGGAAAAAGAAAAGCACTCGTCCTTTCAGCATTACCGGGCAACAAGAATGGAAGTAGCTTCAGTACATAAGAGATTCAAGCTTACTGATATCTCTGGCATCAAAAGGGATTTCAAAATGTTTTACTGATGCTCAAAACAGCACAATAGCCAAATGCAGTTTTAATCAAGTGTTTACTGTAACTGAATATTATATATCATAGTGTATTGAAAAGTTATGTGAGAATAAATAAAATACTGTATTTTTATTTGGGAATAGTCTGTAATAGATTAAGGATATATTAATCAATATAGTGGGAAAAACAGAGTAAACGGCTATTAAAATAATATAGATGTGATATTTAAACTTCTAAGTATGCTATTTTAAACATGGATATTCCAGTAGAAAAAGAAGTAAACAATCATCCTAAATATTACAATATCTCTTAAAATTTATCTCAATAAACTAAAAATACAACCCACTTATCTTTCTATTCATATTACAAACTAAGCTTTCAGTACAAAGACTGGTACAAAATGAAGAAACCAACTCTTTGATCCAAGATAAGTCATCTACAAACTGGGAAGGATTTTCATTTATTTCTCCCTTACAAAACCACAATCTTTTAAAATTATTTTTAAAATAAGATATGTCTTTATAAAAAGCCTACATAAAAATCACATAGGCTACAATGTTATCAAATTATATAAGAATTTTAAAATTATAAGGATGTCCTGGAAATTTGAAATATACTAATTTCTCTATAGCTAGATTTTTATTCCACCTCCAAGGTAATTTTATAGTTCTTAACTTTAGAGTCCAGTCTAAGTTGAAGTTAGTGCTAACTATATTCATAGACTTAGAGAGATGTCCAGGTGTAAAAATCAATGATATAGTTTAAGAAATGTCCAGATGCCTTCCCTAAGAATTAATTTCACATTTTTTCATTTAAAATTGCATCACAGTGATTCCACCCCAGTTTTTTCTCAAATGCTTAGATCATTAAAATGGATTTAGTCTAGTCAGAAAAGAGTCCAGTAATTTTTTAATTCTTATGAATCTTAATTATAGTTGTGTTATTGTTAGTGTAAAGGAAGGCAAACCTAATTTATTATAATGAATAGACTATATGGGTAATATATTTTGATTCACACAATGAAAATGCTATATATAAATATCTCAGAGACTTAAAGAAGGTTTTTATAAAGAGACAAATTCAGCCTTTTAAAAGTTGGTGAAGCAGGAAAACTTTAAGTTGTCTTCAATTTAGGTTTTGGAGCGATTGTAGAATGTTAAGTTTGAATAACTAATCACGAATCACTATATATTTTCCCTAAATGCCATAGATGCTGACATTTTTAGATACTGTATTTTAACAATTATTGGTTCAAGTTACAACATTTTTTCAAAACATAAAAATTAAGAAAATTCTACAACATGTCGTTTCATTTCTAAATTATTTTGATGCTTTTTGTTTAGTTGGATGTGTGATCAGGTCACTGTGTAATCTTTGATTCTTTACAGTTAAAATGTTTATATTTTATTTGTTTCCTATATATTCTAACTAGATTATTATTGATGTAAAATTGTGTAATCTTAAATAAAATTATTCCATCAGACATATATATCTGAGATATATATATATATATATGTAATAATAAGTTTAATAATAGTTTTCTAAAAGTCAAAAGTAATAAGCTACCCTAGCAAGCCTGTGAAATGATACTAATTCTGGATACTGCCTAGTAACATGATATACCCCTGAGCAATTGAGTCACTTAATGAATGCTGGGCATCTCACTACCAACCATAATTCTACTCCATGTAGTTTTTCTGGATAATCAGACACATAACTACAGAGGAAACTAAGCAAGATCCATATAATAATCAATGTTGTCTATCATTTATGGATGTACAAATAACAATATTGTTTTTAAGGACACACTATACAGCCATTATAATGAAGTGTCCGTGGTAGCACTGGGTTGGCCGAAATGGCAGACAGAGACCCCACGATGGTAAATCACACAGCTTACATTCATTTAAAGAATTCAGAATGAAGTCAGTCCTGAAGGCGTGTCAGTAACATTCTCTCATATAGGCAAGTTACAAAACCCTACGGCTCACTAGAAAAGGGGTATGGGACCATGGGCTTGTAGAGACAATGAAAATGTAAATTCCTCTCAGAAAGCAGAACCAAGGGCTACCTGATGGGCTAATCATGGCAGATATTTCATATAATGGGGTGAAATCTTCCCCGTTCTTATCCAGTAGTATTTGGTCAGTGCTACGAACCAATTACTGCTGAGTTAGTTTCATATTCTCCCTTTTTCTGAATGGGAATTTTAACTGTATATGTAACATTTTTACTCAACCACTGTATTTGGGGGATTGTGGAGAAAATAAATCATCTGTTAGTTTATGTATCACTTTAAAAGCCACACTCTGGAACAGTAGAGAGGATTGAGCACTACATGGAGCTTCTAGACTTCAGTTGGATGCAGTATTTCAGATATAACTTTTTAAGCAGATTGTTACATGACAGTTTCTTGGAATATTTCCTAGGAGGCAACTAGTGCCTGCCTGCTGCCCTGTCTTTTGCTTGCCTTGCTCCTTATCTTTGGACCATAAATACTGAGTTTGCAGCTTGATATATACAATTTTTTTTCATATTAACAATCTTCATTTGGAATGCAGGGAAATTATCCCTTTTCAAATATGAAATACAACTGCATGTATTCCAGAGAAATGTTATACAGACTATTGGTTTAACGTTTTAACTGATAATTAGACACTTCAATTCAACAAATGGTCAATTCCATCAGCTTCCTAATTGACTTTTTTCTTTTTTCAGTTTTAAGTTTTATTAGGTAGAATTGTTACTATTTGACTGTACATATACAGTATACTGCACATATTTTTTTAGTTTACTTATATGTACTGAGGTTGCAGCTTGATCTTTCATGGAGATAAAGGGCATACTAGGAAGTAGTGGAATAGAAAGATTCAAGAAATTTATATCTCTGAGGTACTGATGAAGCAGATGCCTCATATCAGCCTATTTCCAAACTGTTACATGAAAGCAAAGCAAAATTCTATCAAGTTTAAACCAATGTTATTTTTCTTTCCACTGCTCATATCCAAACCTAATCCTACTTGGTAACACTGATCATGTAATAGCCCCAAAGAATTTCACAACTACAACAAAATCAGTATCATAAGGCAATATTAACTTACCACATGTAATTAAATTATAAATTACAAAATTATAGTTAGTTTTTTAAAATTCATAATAAGTTAATTTATTATTTTTTTCTTATAATTTGTGACTGGAAGATGACATGCAAATAGAAATTTTAAAAAATTAAATAAATGGCATTGAATGTGCTAGTATGAAAAATCTGGTATTTAGTTAAAGTGGTTCTGAAAGAGAAATTTATACAAGTGAACTTACTTATTTAAAAATAAGAAAGACTGAAAGTAAATTAACCTAGCCTCTAATTCAAGAAGCTGAGTAAAGAATAATGAAATAAACATAAATAAAATTAAAACAGATAAGAAATAGTGAAATATAGAAGAAATATATGAGACTATCAATAAAACACAAAGCTGTTTCTCTAAAATAGAAAATAGGAAAAAAAATACCTCTTACTAATATAATCTTGAAACATTAGAGAATTAATACATAGGTATCTTCAAGACTGAATAATGGATCATAATTGCAAAGATTATTTTTAAATATAAGAAATTATGAGATATTATTTTAAGAAAATATAAAATACTAAAGTGACTCATAAGAAAATCTTCACAAACAATAAGAAAGGAAAAGAATGAAATGATATTCAAATATCTACCTCTCACAAGACAACAGGCTGAATGCTTTAAAGACAATTTCTACTATATATTTGAGAAACATAAAATCTCAAATTTCTCAGAGTATAAAAGCATTTCCAGAGCATAGAAGTTCTTGGGAAATTATTCAGCTCTTTATATACCTAGCATAATCCTGAATTGAAACAAAAATTGACAAAGAAAATCCAAGGAAAGCATTGGTAATTCTCATTCTTTGAACCTAGGTGTAAGAATCCTTAACATTTATAGCAAACTGAATGTAGCAATATCTAAAAACATAATCATGATCAAGAACAGTTTTATCATATAATGTTAGGAGAGATTAATTTAAGGAAATACACTGATAAATAAATAATTTATTAAATTAACACATTAAGTAAAAAATACATGTTTCTGTCTACATGGAAAAATGATAAAAATCCAATATGTATTTGAAAACTTCCAAGAAAACTAGAAAGATTTTTTTTAAAACTTGTTTAAAGTTTACCAATCATAAGCTAATAGCAAATATGATACATCATGATAAAAAATTAGCAGCATTTAAATTAAATTTAAGGAAAAATAGATTTACCTGTTATTTTTGTTGCTGTTCTATATTGTTGTGGGAGTCTTCACAATCTAATAGAAAAAAAGTAAAAGAAATAACAGTTGTAAAGTTTTATAAAAGAAAGTCTAAAAGAGTCATGTAGAATTTTTTTGCAGTAAGAGATTTTGGATTATTAAAATACCTAAAATAAAAAATTAGAGTCTGGGGCATATGTGTAAGTTTATAAATGTTGTCTAAAATCTAGATCACCATCCCACAACAGAGTCTTCCTATGCACAAACAAAAAATAACAAACAAAATCTTGTCAGAAATGATTGCGGTGGATTTATATTGGGTCAATTTAGATAAGCTGGTCGATTTCTAGATTTCCACTTCCTGTTCATATCCAGGTTGGTGTGTGGGTACAAGAGACGTTAGGAATGAAGTTTGGAAGGCAGACATGAAATGGCTGTCATATTGTATGTGTGTTAGGAACATAAGGGGGAGACAGAAGTTGGGGCTGTTGACTTCATTAACTTATCACAGATCTGCTTACTGTTTGTTGCATGGGGCAGCAGTGAGCTCCACATTCCACCAAACTTTCTCCCTCCACTTTTCTAAACTCTAGGATCAGATGAATATTTAGTTTAAAGACAAAGGTAAACTACTTTTCCTGTCTGTCTTTACATCATCAAAATTGGTGGTTTGACAGCCATGTGAGATTCAGAAGGATTCTAGTTCATCTTGGTATATTCTAATTTGACTTTCATCCTCTACTGTGCAACCATTATTTCTATATGAGAGCCTTATCTGTAACTTCAGCTCCAGGACCCAAATCAGAGACAGAAATAAGAGCTTCACATCCTGTAGACTATAAAATGTAGTGTGTGTGTGTAAATATTTAACATAATCCCTATTATGATAGCAGTAGACTTTTTTTTTGGTTAACTTTAATAAGCTGATTCTAAAATTTATATGGAAATGCCAGCCTAAAAAGAATTATAGTGTTGTATTACATCTCCTAACTGATCAGTTTTACTTGTCAGTTAACTAAAGAATTAAGATAATTTAGTGAGAAATCAAAGAATGCAACAAAATAAAGAACTTGGAAATAGAATCCCTCTTACACAGGCATCTCATTTTTGACAATGTAACCAAAGCTATTTAAAAGGTAAAGGGAAAGTTTTTCAAGTTATGGTGCTGGAAAAATTGTATCTCTATCTGCAAAAAATAGACCTCAATCCCTACTTAGTATCACACAAAAATATTATCTTAAGAAAATATCATGGACTAAATAGAAAAGCTAAAACCACATGGCTTTTAGAAGAAAATACAGGAGAATATCTTTATGACTTGGTAATACGAAATAGTTCCTTATACAGGTCATAAAAGTAATATGTGTAAAAGAAAAAAATGACAATCTTCATTTAAATTTGAAAGTTCTGCTAATCACAAAATACTGTAATTAAAATGAATAGGTGAGTTATAGACTGGGAGAAATATTTATGAAGTATCTTTCAGATAAAAGACTGGTATCACACATACATAAAGAACTCTTACAACTCAATAATAAAAGTCAAATAATCCAATTTACAGCATGAACAAAAGACTGAAAAAAACTTATAGAAGTAGATATGCAAATGGTCATCAATGCATGAAAAATTGTTCATAGTTTGCAGTCATCGGGGAAATGCAAAGCTTAACTACACAGTTATCAGTATAACAGATATTATAAAGTCTAGTAATATTAACTAGTCACAAGGGTGTGGTACAACTGGAAGCACATCTACAAGATCATCTAAAGATATGTACATAAATATTCATAATAGTGCTAATTATAATTACCTTGAACTGGAAACAGTTCAAATGTATATCAAGAGCATATTGAGTAAATAAATTGGTGGGTATTCCTACGATGGCATACTATATAGCACAGAGAGTGAATAAGCTATAATTACTAACAATATGGATGATTCTTATAAATATAATAATGGAATGAAAATAGTCAGATATGAAAGAGTGTATACTATATAATTTCATTTATGTAGAATTCAAAGTCAGGAAAATAAATTTGTAGCATTAAAAATCAGAATACTGGTGACATTGTAAGGTTAGTGACTAGAAATGGGTACAAGGAGGCTTCAGGGGCTATATCGATTTTATAAGCTGGGTTAAAGTTATACAGGTCTATTCAGTTTGTGAAATTCATCAAACTATATATTTAGGATCTGTACATTTTCCTACTTTTTATTATGTATGTTACACTTCAATAAAATGTTTACTTTCAAAAAAACCTTCTGGATTTAACCATTGCTCGTCTCTTTCTCTTGTACTCTGTATTTAAAATTACTTTTTATGTGTTGTTGGATTCTGTTTGCTAATATTCTGTTGAGGATTTTTGTATCTATGTTCATCAATGATAACCAGCCTATAGTTTTCTTTTGTGGTGGTGTCCTTGTCTGGCTTTGGTATCAGGGTGATGGTGGCTTCATAGAATGAGTTTGGGAGTATTCCCTCCTCTTCAGTCTTTTGGAAGAGTTTGAGAAGGATCAGTATGAGCTCTTCCTTGTGTAATGGCCTTCTAATTGTAAATCCGTTTCCTGCTTCTATACCTGATTCCTTGTCAGTCTATTCCAAACACAATCACCAACATAATCATGTTGACAAGCAAGCCAGATCTTGTCACTGTTGCTTAAAACAATCTGTGATGGTTAATTTTATATGACAAGTGGATGGGCCATGGTGCCTAGATATTTGATCAAGCATTATTCTGGAGATTTCTGTGAAGGTGTCTTTTAAATGAGAGTAACATTTAAATTGGTGAACTCTGAGTAAAGCAGATTGCCCTCCATAATATGGATGAGCCTCATCCAATCAATGGAAGCCTTTAATAGACAACAGTTTACCTCCCCTGAACAGGAAGGAATTCTGCCAGCTCATTACCTCTCTATCTCCAACCATGTTGTCTCTCAAACTCTCCACTTCAACCTCACTTACCACCTTGCTATTCCTTGAACATGTCAGGCAAGTTCCTGACTCAGGGTACCTGTACCTGTATCTCTGGTTGGAGCACTTTCCCAGATATCTGGGTAGCTTATGTTTCTTAAAATCTTTGCCCAACCTAAGGCCTTACTGGCCAATCCTATTTCAATTTTCAACATCTTTTAATACTCACTATCCACATTCTCTGCTTCATTTTAACACATTCTCTTATTCTTTACTTATTCACTGATGTTTTGGGTTTTTTTATCTCTCCCCTAGAAGGTAATACCTGTGGGACAGGATTTTTTTCTTACTAATATATTTTATGCTATATCTTCAGTTCCTGAGACAAGGCTTGTTACATAGTAGTTGTTCAATAAACATTTTGTGAATGAATAAATGAATAAAAATAAATAAAAGAACCGTTTCAGAAATAAATCTTAAGCTAAACTAGACTTTGAGTTCATAAAATATTTTAAAAGTAAGGATGAGATTAGTGGAGTTACTTTGTGTTTCTCTTTCCACTTTTATATTCCAACTTTCCTCTCACCCTACTCCCAGTAATTTAAGATACTGAATGGAATTTAATTTTCCTCTTTGGTAATATTTATTTTTCTCAAAGTTTTCAAATATGTTCAATTATAAATGTATTTATTTTCAATTTTCTTAAACATATTTTCTCACGCTTCTCTGTTCATTATAAATTTCAAGTCTTCATGTTAACACTCAGGGGTTCCTTGGGAATGGGGAATGTCATATTCCCTCATAGCTCACCGGAATTTTACTGATTTCCTGCCTAGGAAGGAGAGTTTTGGCTCTCACGTTAAGAGTCACTTGTGATCTCAGAATGTGGTTAAGTAAATGTCAACAGCAAGGATATTGATGAGCATTTTCTCCGTCAAAGATTTATCTGCAAGTTAACCACTGGCATGCCAAATCCTAAAGTGAGTATTATAATTGTTTAAAATATGAGCCTAAGATAAATTTGGATAACATTTTAAGATGATTTGAACTATGAAGTATTTTCTAGTCATTTATCTTTTTGCTACAGAAGACCTTGCTTACAATCTATAGCTAAAACTGAAAAGCTTGGAACTACTTAGCCTTCAATGTTTTAACAAAAATATGTCTTTTCTTGATTAAAAAAAATAGGCAAGTTCAACAGAGATAGGTATTTCTTAAAGAGCAATGTGTACAACATAATAATCTCATAGGTACCCAAGGTCCTCCTGAGTGGTCAAGGGGTATAATTCTGCGTGAGCAATTTTCATCTGCTACTTCTCACATGTAGCAAGCAAGAACATCCCTGATTGGTCATCAGAGGCCACATAGTACTTTGCTTCCAGCTAAAACAGAGAGAGTGACAAGGCAAGTTGGTTTCTATTACTTTAACCAAAAACTGTAAGAAATATTAAGTATGGCTAATCTTTGGTGTGTAATTAATGCCTTTCACATTTTACACACATACAAAATATTAAAATGTAGAAATAATCCAAGAGGGCCACAAGTATGTACAAGTCTCTTATAGTGATAGCGTGTGTCTCTTGCTGTCTTTTAAAAAATCACCTGTAAGGAGAACAAAATGTTTTCTTTTTAGCTGTGGTACATGTTGTACTGTAAACCATAAGGTGTACCTTAATGAGGAACTAGACCTTGAAAATTACATCTTATTCTAGTAGAAGAAAAAGCTTTTTACAAGAATAAAAATAAACTGATTCAATATCTAAAGTCTCTAGGATTTTATAGATATTTTAAAATAATTTTATGTAGAAATAGGCATTTTGTCACATGTTGAGAAAACTGCTCAGCTTTCAAAATTAGTCTTTCTTCTGACTTGATGCTACAAAATCCAAATTTTCACAATGATTTTTATAATCATGATTTGTAGGAGGGTATAAACTTCCCCAAACTAAGCTCCGTCAACTTCTAAGTCAGTATTTGTTATAAATATTTTATTTATTTTCCTACTGTGTATAAGTAGCTTTGCTGATCGCAATATATACAATATTTCCCATTCATTTTCCTCTCATGATTGACTGCCATGTTATTTTTTTATCAGATTTCTCAAGGATAAGACTGGTAGGATGTCAGAGGTAGAATAGAATGCAAA